GACGTAACATGAACCGAGTTCATTGCGATAATCAGATTAAGCCAATAAAAACAGGAGGATTTGACCGATGGAATAAATACACTATTCAATTCTTGAAAATGACTTGATAATACGGCCATAATAATTTAAATAATTTTTTTTACCACAATGTCTCAATTATAGTCTTAAATATTCTAAGCGAAGTGAATGATCCGACTAGTAACAATTCTTTATGACAAAGCAGCAAAAAACTCAAATCTAAGGTAGACATTTTTATTAAATGCAGTAATAGTATCAAATTGATTGCTGTCGTATAATTTGATGTCAACTGATTCAATTCAGAACATTGAAAATGAGTTTTTAAACTTTGGCATTAAAAAGGTTTTATTCATTGGTTCAAAGTGCAAAAATTTATTTTGGCATTAAGTCGAGCCACATTACGTTCTAAGAACTATTTTTCGATGAACTGCGCTGATTGCTAACGTTCCAGTTGCAGAATTTTGATAATATATTTCTAGAATTTTGAAGAAGCTCAAACTTAAGGAGTTTCTGGTTGACCGAAAAATGGCAGCCTATTTTGAAGGAAATTTCGCGCAGCAGGTTTAGGATTATCTTTCTGACCAATTTTGAATAGTTCTTTGAGTAAGGATTAAGCCAAATTATTTATTACTTTCACGTACAAACAGATCAAAAAAGGGATTTGATTGAAACTAAATAGAAAATCTGCATAAAAAATCTGGAATAAAACAGAACGTGTTTTATGTTGTTTAAAGTCGTTCTGTTAGATTTAAGACGAAGCTCGGTATATGAAAAATCAGGAAACAACTTGGAATCACAAATGGGAAAGTGAAACGGAACGTGCTCCCAAAAACATCCGCTCCAAAGCAGAATAAATGATTGATTTAAAAAAATTAAAGCTGCAGACGCTGAAGTTGAATTGCACAGATGGAACAAAACAAAAATTGAAACAAGGATTGCTGCTTGCTGTGAAAGCAGCACAGAATGTTCCGACCGTATTCTTATAAAACTACAAAAAATATATATATATTATTTGGTAAGTTAATTTTAATTTTTTTCTGATTGATATGATGAAAGGATCCAAACGAAAGTTTAGATTTTAGGCATTTCCGATATTCATAGTAGTTTAACTTTTCAAGCAATGCAACAAAATCTCTTTATTATCAGTTTTGAGGTTCTTGACTCGCAAGATGGCGTGAAAAGACTTTAGAAATCTTTTTCACCTAAATTATCAGGGCTTGAATTTAAAATTTTTGGCTTATTTACTACTAATTTGCGAAAACCCTTCTATATTAGGCCTGCTTGCTTGCTGTTTTTGCTCGAAATGAAATTAGACGAACAATAAAAAATTTCAAACCAATTTTTTTCGACTCGCGATTTTTTGAGGATTTTTAATGACGTTCGAATTACGTTGAAAGAGCTTTTATATGATTTATCACTCAAACCAGTCCAATAAATTTGTGTGGTATCTGACTTTGTGTGAAAAAAAATTGAAACACCCGAATACAAAATTTCTCTCCATTTTCACTGGTCGGAACAAAAATATTGTCGAGCAAGCGGATCTATCTAGTAAAGCAATGCTTACATTATTTCAGGATAACAAGTTATTTCTCAGCTTACGTACAAAAAAATCTGTTGTATAAACTCGAATAAGTTCAGTCGACAGTGTTGTATTTTGTTCAGTCAACACAAAAAAAGTGGCAAAAAAGTGTTTAAAAAAACTTGCTTCCAACTAAAACTTGAACGCAAAATTTTGAAACAAAAAAACTTGAAAAGCAATTCTAATGCCGTTCAAACTAAGACCCTAATGGTTTTAAATTATCTATCACTCAATTAATTCTGATAATAGGTTTGAATACTTGATTTTGCAAGGAATAAATCTGCAGTGAAAAACAAAAAGCACATTGAAATCAAATAATAAAATTTATTCCTAAAACCGATTTTTATAGACTAAACTCTGTAGAAAAATTTTAGAGCATTAAGAGATTTTTTAATCAATTTTGTTTTACTAAATTTCATCCATTATTGCAGAAACCAGCGGATCAAAATTTTGATTGAAAATAAAACTTTTTAAAGCACTTTTTTCTCACACTCGATTTCCTTCAACTTTTTGGCTTCACCGAAATTTTAAAAACTTATGTTTTCAAAAAATTATGAAATTTTGTGGCCTATGAGCAGTTATTTGGTAGGAAGATATTACTGCAAACCAAACGTTCTGACTTTTTTATCTATTTTGCACCGAATGAAAAAGAAGTGGGATTGTTGAGAAACATGTAAATTTTAGATGCCGAATCACCCTAATTAATTATTTCATAATTTAGTTTTCGCCATATAGATCAACACGTTTTCTTCTGAAAATATTTATCTCTGCAGAAGCTTTGATCTTGTTCTAACAACACCCCTGTTTTCAATTTTCAAAACGGTCACAAACTCATACAAACAGAGCACGTTGACATTCCATTTTCGAAACTATTAATTTATAAAATGTGATTAATACAAAAGCCGCAAAAAGCTTCTAGCACAAGCAGGGGTGGATCTAGGTTTTTATCAAGGGGAGCCACCATCTTTATTGAGGTTGACCAAAATGATTTTCCGGGCCCTCTCAAATCACTATAAAGAACCCCATTTTGACCAAATTTGACCAAGTTTTGGAAAAACAGGCAAAAAAAGTTGTTTTTAGGCACTTTTTGGATAATTTTGACCAAAAAATTGCATCTATTTTGACCCAAGCCCCCCTCTCTCAAAACACTATATTTTGGCGCCTAAGGCGCCTTCAGAAAATCATGATGGTCAGTCAGCCAAAAATGGATTTTCAAAATAGTACACAAGGCTCGACCCTTTGGTCGGCAAGGGGTCGAATTTTTGAGGAGGGGGTCGTCCACCCCCACCAAAACCCGCCGGTAAGTACAAGAACCAATAGTTTTACAAAATCACATTGGTATCTTAACACTCATAAATCCAAAGAAAATCACTAAGAACAACTCACAAAATCTGGCACTTGCCTCTGCAGCCATTAGGAAAACACGGGAAAAAAATACTAATGACAATTTGAGGTTTACCATCTTCCTAAATTCACTGCTTTTGTGATGTATATTATATGGTGTTATCGAAGTTTTCAATGGCATACTTATTCCTTACTATAAAAAATGCAAAGCAACTCGGCAATTTTGTACGTTCTGTGAAGCCCATATATAACCGTAACACCTGTATAAAAATATTACTAAAAATTCTTGGTTTAAAAGTAAGTGGAGGCAGATAGTGCACCTTTTAAAAAAAATAAAACGCCGTGAGGTAACTTTAAAGTTAAAAGATGAAAAACAAACCCAACTGAAGATTGGAAAGAGTAATGAACGCAAGAAAACATAAAAAAACACTGATTTTGCTGAAAAAAACTCAATATTGGATTTCAAAAGAAAAAATAGTTGCCCTTCAAGCTCTTTGCATTTCTAGAACGATTCATGATTGGCATTATTTTGAAAAGATAACCCAACTTGAGGAAGCTAGATCAACAGTGTTTAATTTTTATTCCCATGAAAATTTTAAAAACAAATACTACTTTCCAAACTAAAAATCATTCACGGTTTTTTGCGCCATTTCCAAGTTCGTAAATGAAGAGTTCTATTTACGGCGCTTTGAGCAGATGAGTTTCAACTGAACTCAAAAAGTGCATAATTAGCTAAGTGCATCCATAAATTCATCAAAATGTATGAGTGCACATCTGTAATATTTCCTGGAAAAAAAATCAGCAAGACCTATATCAGAGTCTTCACTTCACAACGTTCATTTCTCTTAATAAAAGAAACCAAGTGTCTTGGCGTATTAAAAAACCTTCTACAAGATTCGAAACAGGCCTTGAGCATCCAAGAGAACGGCCCTACATAACTGCGCTACTGTCTCTTAGAGAATAAAACACTAGCTACTCATAAAACAGAAAACGCATACTATTTAAGTGGCTAAATGAATAAAACTGTATGGAGATTAAAGAAGGTACTCGTAATATGAGTCAAAGCTAACAGACGTGCTTGCTTGAAAAGAATGCAATCGAACGCTCAGAAAAAGGTTTTAAATGATTTTGAGACAACAAAACGGGCCCATAAACTTCCACTTCATTAGCAAAGACATTGCCAAAAAGCCACTGAAGCCTTCACGCGCAAATCATCATACTTCAATACTAACAAATATAGCAATAACTGATAGTCAGGAAGGCAATCTATGCGCCCTTATTCACCGCAAAAATTATCGCTTACCTCAAATTGCCAAAAATAGGCTAGCCCTTTAACGCTAAACCTTAATCAGAAAAATGGAAACATATTTTTGCGACTTGACAAACAGATTCATTTTTTAAAACAAGTGTTGCTTCGCTAGAACATAGCAAACAGAAAGGTGGAAAAATGACAACTAACTCAAGAAAATGAGGAAAGACAATGATTACTTTTAGGCACTCAAAAGATTTTTTAATTCTTTTTTTTTCTTCAAAAATTTTACAGCGGAAATCTAAATATTGGAACCCAAATTTAAAACCAGTTTTCATTCGCTTTTCTGCGCGGTTTGATTTTGACTTGAGAAGAAACTATTTGTCTAGAAATTGGCAACTGAATTTGAAGTAAACTTGCGAAAAGAAATTCATTGGGGTTAAAGACAGTGAATGGAAAAAAGACGTAACTCAAGAAACTTTTTCAGATACTAACGCAACAAAATTTAAGCAACAAAATTTGTGTCGACCCCTTTTGAGTGGAAACAAATCAACTGTCTTAAAAAAGTTAAAAATTAATTGTGAAATATTAAATTTTTACGACCCATCGAAATTGCGCAATTAACTCGACTCAGCCAATATCTGAAAATATATCTGAAAAATACCTGAAAATATATCAAAGGTCGCCAAAAAATTCAGGACTTCACCTAGATACCAGTATTCTTGTGTGATTCCAGACTGAACTGTAGCGAGCTGAAATTTCGCACTGATACTCCCAGCAATTTTTCAAGCCTAACTATCCCGATTTTAGAACTGAACTTGACTTTTCTTCAGTTGTCTTTCACTGGCATTTATTTTTATATCCAATTTAATTAATTATCTGAAAGCACATGTAACAATTCAAAGGATTCAAAGGAGGAAGTCTGTAAATTTAGTTGTTCAAAAATTAGTTCTCGATGGCAGATATGATCCTGGTCAGTTTCTGCAGTTCATCTGAAAACTCCCCCTTCAAACTCTGATCATCTCTCTTCTCTCTCTTCGGCTTCACTAGCTTACTGCTTCCCTCATCCAGCTGCCAGTTGAGTCGACTGACCAGTGCTCTGCCAGTGTCTTCACTTGAGCACCCTGTCAGTTCGCAGAATGAGTCAAACTTGATGACGTCATACGCTTTGCTAATGAGAGAAATGCTATTCAGCCTCACTGTCCGCTCCAGAGTTCTCATGTATCTGCAACATACAACAACAGTTTCAATTTTGGGGTAATCAATTAAGTCAAAGAGGCGAAATATATTAAATTATGACAATAATCACTTTTGGAAAACTTAAATCGAAAAAGAATTGTCAGAGTATTGAAAGGTTCCGTCCAGAATCATGCTCATCAAAAACAGTTCGAACCAAAAAAACTTAAGCGCAGCCGTGTTTTAAAACAACATAGCGAACAAACAGTTGCAAAGAACTACAGGAGACCTATAAAAGCAATTACTTGTTTTAAAATTTTCCACTTTCGAGTACCAATAAAAAATTAAGAATCTTTGATAAAAGTCAACCAAAAGTGGCATGATTGACATTTCTTTGATATAGTCAGCCCAAACTGGTAAAACTGGATCAATAATGGATTGTTTTCAAATCCCGGTCAATTCTTAAAAACCAAATTGACTTTTTTTCATGTTTTTCTCGCGTCATTTGAAATTCTGTAATTAAAGAGCTTAAGTTGGGTGACCACTCGACTAGCTTAAAGCTCGACTACCATGAAAGTTTGAAAACATGAAAATGTATCGACTAGCATAACTTTGATGGCTATACTTCTCAGAAAAACAAAACGAAAAAAGAATCCTTTCAAACTGAAACTTACTCCGACAGTTACATCAGTCATACTCCGACCCTGATTTAGAGAGGGGCGGAGTTGGGGAGCGTACACTCACCCACTTCTCCCTCCCCCCTCAAAGATTCGACCCCCTGAACGTAAAGGGGGTGTGAACGTGGGGGAAATGTAAATGAGTTGTAGGATTAATCAATTATTATCCATGAAAAAACAGTGCGGCAATGATTTGGATATTGGGACCAAGTTAACATCCTCCCCTAAACACGTTTAGGGGGGAGGATGTTAACTTGGTTTTAAGTTAGAAATTTTCAGCCAATCAGAATCGAGCATTTTACATGCAGCGCTTAGCAAATTAAATTTAAATTCAGCGCTGGGGTGGATGATCTTAACTTGGTCTATTTGGGAGGAGGATGTTAACTTGATCCGGATATTGTTTAACGGGGATATTTAACAAGATCCAATGCTTTTAATTTTGACAGTAATTGAATACGATTTTCATTTTCAAAACTTTAATGCTAGTCGAGCTTTATGCTAGTCGATACACCGCCCTTAATTAGTTTTCCTTCAGCACATCATATTGAAATCAACTCGAAAGGAACCATAACTCAAACCACAAAATAAAACAAGTTTGAGAGTGAAATGTTAAGATTTTTAAAGAAAAAAAACGAACGAAAAAAAGAAAGCAATTGGAAAAATATACCGCAAAGCTAAAAAACAAAAAACCTATAATTTGCGTAAAATTCATAACCCATATATAAAAATTTTTGTAAAAATGATATACACCTACCCCATCTGATATACACCTACTGCACACCTACCCCATCACTACTTCAACCCAGATTACAGTGAGCGAATGAACAAAGCCACTTTTTTCGCCATTTTATCAACTTTCATAGTTGGTGAGTCTAATTTGTCTACCTTTTTATAAAAAAATTCTTTAATTGAACTTCAGCGAAATCAAAAAATATATCCCACAGAATTATATTGCGTTAAAAACAAAAATATGTTCAACAAAAATGAAAAACTGACAAAGTATTTAATGAAACCCACTGACAATATTTGAACAAAAATATCAATGAAAAAATAAGGTTTAACAATGTAAATTTTGAGAAAGGTTTATTAGAAACTCACAATTTTGTCGTTCACAATTTAGCGCGTCATTTTCGCCTTAGAAATTGGAAAGCGCAAATCGCATTCCTTTTAGCAAATCAAACGCATAAGTGCAATAAAAAAAAGAAATAAGCCTCGAAAAAAATTCGGCTAGGTTTCGGATTCAATCTGCGACCTATTGCAATATAGAAATTTTGAGTCTCACGCACTAACCACTCAGCTATGGACGCTTATCCATCGACAAACACTAGTCACGACTAAAGCAGCTACAAATGCTAATAAATTGTCAATGCGACTCGGCAAAATGGCACCAGATACAAATAGACACAATTTTGCAAGTAATAATTTTGAATACAAACTGAAGGCATCCACACTAACTTTGCATGTAGCAAATCGGAAAATAGGAAGCCACAATATTTATAAAATCTGCATTTCGAAAAATTGCGAGTTATAGTGAGTTATAAAATTTCTGAAATCGAGTTTTTATGATAGTGTTCTTTGAAAAGAATAGCTTTTTTCGGTTCATTTGATCAATTTACACAGAGGTGAAGGTGAACTTCACATACACAAGCAAAAATATTACCGATAACGCTACTGGGAAAAACTGAATGAGTTAAACTTTGAGTCTACAAAACTTCTGAAATGACGCACGCCAATTATGAGTCTACATAACTGCTAAGTGACGCAAGCCAATTCTGACGCATTAGCAGTACCAGTCAAAGCACGTGATATCAAAAAGCTGTAAACATGACCCAAAAGTAGAACCAATATTTGCGAATTAGGTTAGAAAAAAAGACGGTTCGTAATAATACACTAATCTGACGTTAGTGTAAAGGATAGAAAATTCAAACATCAAAAGTCAATTCTATTTAACTCGAAACATTCCTGAAAAAAAAACGAAAAGCCACACGACCTCTAAAATTAACTTCATTCCATTCACTGACATACAGAAAAACTAAAATTGAAAAAAGACGTATCTTCAACACGCTTATTGACACTTAAATTCAATCTTTGCAGTTTCTAAATTTTGAAGCGTTTCAAATTTCAAATACTGTTTATGATTGGCGCTTTTATCGTGAACTTATACCATATAGAGAAAATGAAATCAATCAGAGCCGAAGCGGATCTTCTCACCACTTGCTATACAAAAATGAATGATTACGATTAACAGCAAAAAAAAGACAAAAAATAGTCAACTGACAGTTGGAAAAGAGTAATGAACGCAAGGAAACTGAAAACTGATTTGTTTTCTTAAAAATCCTTCAACTTGTGAAATTCGAAGAAAAAAATAGATGGCTTGAAAACTCTTTGAATTTAAAAAACAAATTATGAAAACCACTTTTTGTTAAAATTGACCCAATTTGAGAACAGAGGCGAAGTTGCACTTCGCATACACAAGCAAAAATATGACCGTTAACGCTACTGGGAAAAACTGAACGAGTAAAACTTTGGGTCTTCAAAATTTCTCTTCTTCAAGTGACGCATGCCAATTATGGCGCATTAGAGTACCAATCAGTTCCAAAAAAAATTACCAACAAACATGCCTCAATTTATAGAGCAGTCTATGGAGCGGTAATAACATGAAAAATTTAAATAAAATGAACAAAAGCTGATTTTTTTTTAATTTAAGATTTTTTTGAAAATCATCCCCCCACACGCCATATTTAGTACAAAGTTATATATTTCGCTCCTAGTTACAAATCAACTATGGCAAATAAGCTTCCTTCGACCATTTTGGAACGATTTCTATGATGGATTAAATCTCCGCTTACGCGTTAATGGCGCGAAATATATCGCGCCTTAATTGTCCGAAATTAGCCAAAATTGCTATTTTAAAACTCCAATAACGGTACGAAAAATGATCAAAGATGAAACATCTTTCCAAATTTAAGCTCAGGACAACAAAACTTTTTGACTGATATAAAAGAAAAATACCGCCGAAAATGGCTAGTTAAAAAGTCGAAGAAAAAAACTTGTCTGAAGAAAAAAAATCACAACGAGCACAAATATTTGTTGATTTCGCTACCAAACTTGGAACAATAGTAGTCTGTGCTAAAATCCTTAGCATTGGCTGTAATTAATAGCTGGTTATTGATCAAAACGAACGTTTTCAAAATGAACACATTTTATCGCAACAATATTTGCGTCGCAACAATATATGCGACTTAGGTTGGAAAAAAAGATAGTTCGTACTATAAAACAAGCATTGCTTGTGAAAAAACTAGATCAATAAGTAAAACCTTTATTTCGCTGGGAAATCTGATAATTAATTTCCATGTTCGAAATTAGAAGTCGATCACGTTTTTTGTGATTTTTACAATTTTGCTGTTCGAAAGTGGAGCTTGCCTTCCTTTTAACAATATAACTGCACTGGACTTAAAAAGAAAACACAAGTCAAACCGCGAAAAATCAAAACTGAGCGTGAACAAATTTTAAGACTTTCATGAAAAAAAAAGCAGCAAGACCTATATAATAGTACTAACTACGGATTTGAATCATTGGTCCTTGTCTTCAGAGGCCGGTGCGTTTGCTCCTCACCACATGTGCGAATTAATGTCTGATGTTGGATTTATTTTGAATTAAAGGTAAAACTATTCAAGTGTTTCTGTTACACTAGTTGTTAACCCGAAAAAAGTCCATATTCCGGTTTGTAAACGCTTGCTAATCCCCAGTGATGCTGGAAGACATTTTTCGTACTACTTTTACGTATGCTCTTTCATAGTGGAACTTGCCTTCATTTATAATGAACATTGATTGGAATTAAACGAGTTCATTAAACCAAACAGTACTAAAATCAAATTTGAGCATTAACAAATTTAAATAGAGCAGAAGCTGTCCTTGGCAAACACTAGCAAGAAACCGACAGCTCTACAAGAAACCGACAGCTCTAGAAAGTGACTAGAAAAAAGCGTTGAATTAGTATAACTTGTGCCATGAGTCAAACTCATACCTGTGACCTCAAAATCTGAAGTCTCGCGTCTTTCCCACTTACCCGGTTGCAGGCACCACTCAGCCATGGGCGCCTAAAGATCGGCAAACAGCAGCCACAAATAAAGCAGAGAACAGGTGCTATGAAGTTTCCAATGCTACACATCTCGATTATAGCAAAAGTGTCATCAACTAATGTTCCTCGCTAACTGGCTAGTGTAAAGAATTATTCATGAAAAAAAAATCATCAAGACATACAGTGCTGATTTAAATTATCCGGACAAAACGAACAAAACTTGAATTTTCAAACGCGTTTTTCTCAAATTGGGTTAACATTAGACAAAAAGTGAAGAGAACAAAAATTGCTTAATTTCACCAGAATTAATATGGTGCCATTTTTTCTCCGAAATTCTCAACAAAAATTTTACCCCAAAAATGGGTCATTTTGGTTTTTTTCAATTAATCAAGAATTACGCGGAAACTACTTTGTTAATTGATGAGAAAATTATATCACAGGAAGCCCCTTACGCAGCTCAACAAAGTATAACTAGGGTTAAATCTCCAAAAATTTGCGCAAATTGTTTAAAATTTATTTTTAAACAGAACTTCTGGGTTTTATATAGTAAAAATCACATTTATTGACTATCAAGTGATAATTTTTTTCTTATACTGGTTTCTGGAGATTTAACCCTTCTTAAACTTTGTTGAGCTGCGTAAGAGGCTTCCTGTGATATAATTTTCTCATCAATTAACAAAGTAGTTTCCGCGTAATTCTTGATTAATTGAAAAAAAGCCAAAATGACCCATTTTTGGGGTAAAATTTTTGTTGAGAATTTCGGAGAAAAAATGGCACCATATTAATTCTGGTGAAATTCTAAGCAACTTTTGTTCTCTTCACTTTTTGTCTAATGTTAACCCAATTTGAGAAAAACGCGTTTGAAAATTCAAGTTTTGTTCGTTTTGTCCGGATAATTTAAATCAGCACTGTACAGTGCTGATTTAAATTATTCGGACGAAACGAACAAAACTTGAATTTTCAAACGCGTTTTTCTTAAATTGGGTTAAGATTAGACAAAAAGTGAAGAGGACAAAAATTGCTTAGAATTTCACCAGAATTAATATGGTGCCATTTTTTCTCCGAAATTCTCAACAAAAATTTTACCCCAAAAATGGGCCATTTTTCGATTAATCAAGAATTACGCTGAAGCTACTTTGTTAATTGATGAGAAAATTATATCAAAGGAAGCGTCTCACGCAGCTCAACAAAGTTTAAGAAGGATTAAATCTCCAAAAATTTGCGCAAATTGTTTAAAATTTGTTTTTAAACAGAGATTCTGGGTTTTATATAGTAAAAATCACATTTATTGACTATCAAGTGAAATTTTTTTCATTTATACTAGTTTTTGGAGATTTAACCCTTCTTAAACTTTGTTGAGCTGCGTAAGAGGCTTCCTGTGATATAATTTTCATATCAATTAACAAAGTAGTTTCAGCGTAATTCTTGATTAATTGAAAAAAGCCAAAATGACCCATTTTTGGGGTAAAATTTTTGTTGAGAATTTCGGAGAAAAAATGGCACCATATTAATTCTGGTGAAATTCTAAGCAACTTTTGTCCTCTTCACTTTTTGTCTAATCTTAACCCAATTTAAGAAAAACGCGTTTGAAAATTCAAGTTTTGTTCGTTTTGTCCGGATAATTTAAATCAGCACTGTATATAAGTGAAAATTACTTCGTTCTTTTAAACTTCGAAAACATCTATCTATATGCATACAATTGCCTTGGAAGCTTCAAGCCAGCTTGTATTGGAAGCTTCAAGCCAGCAAACGAAAATAACCACAAAAAGAATTTGATAATTGTACGAAACGTGTCGTTCTAAAGAAAGAACCGATTAAAAACTCGACAATGCCAAAACAATTAGAAGATTTACAGCAGACTAAAATGAGCTTGCATGACTAAAATGAGCTTGCATCGAGCACAGGACAAAAAACGCTAGCCGAATAGTTTGTCAGATTAATACAACACATAATCTTTACGCCATCTGCGCAAATGGTGTCGTTCATTGGTCACAAAAATAAGTAAAGTTTCCAATGCAAATCAGTTTAATTTCGGCTGAAATAAATTCGAAGCAAATGTCATTTCAAATCATCGCACCCCTTAGCGCACAGGGTAATTGAGCAAATTTTAAACTGAATTCGGGACCGAGTTTAACTAATCTCAAGTGCGAATCCAGTGAGCAAAGTGGCTTGTCGCCAAGTGTAAAAATCCAATCATCGACTTCAAATTAAGTCAATTTTCGAACAGTGAACAGAATGTCAATCATTTATTGCAATTCGAATTTCTGCTATATGAAAAAGCCACCCCCAACTCAAGTTATATGAAAAAATGATTTTTATGATATGTTCACATAATTGTGATTTATTCAATTATTCATATGCTACAACTCTTCTACTGTTACTGTCGTAAGACAACATACTACTCATGACGCTGGTTATTTTAGACCAAGAATACTTGAGGTACTACCGTCTTTACTAGAATAACATCTGATATTTTATAACGGGACATTATTTTAGCGCATAAATCATAGCTTTATCACATACAGTTTTCAATGAGTGGAGCAAACGGAACCCAATCGAATGAGGGAAACTCGATTCCCATGTATTATATCATAGTGGACTCTATTGTGGGAGTCGTCATTCTTTTGTTGTTTATAATCGCAGCAGCAATCATTGTCTCTCACAGGATTTCACAGAGAAGGATTGATAAGGAAAAGAACATGGGCAAATATGCCACAACTCCGAAAACTACTCTTGTAAATACAACAGAAACTCTGGAAGCAGATCCCAGCCGCGAACGCACAGCAGTAATAGTCGCCAACAATAACACCGGAGCAATAATAGAGGACAGCACCCCCAATCCGAACAACATGCAACATGACTGCGAAGAGTCCTACACGCTTTAACAACTCAGCAGTCACATCCGAAATAACTAAAAGCTCATGCAGTGCTTGTTTTTTTTTGTTTCAGTGCGTATCATTTCCACACAAAGCAACCTTAAATTATGAAATCGACTGAGAAAACTTTCCACTCAACTCTTTCTACAAGTAATTTAACTAATTTAGCTTTTTATTTTGAGTTTGTATGATCATAGTCACATGTTTAACACAGAGGCGAAGCTGCGAACACAACAGATGCTGCTTTCGAGACAAAACAAGCGAGAAAAACGCAAAAATAAATTCTAAACAGCCAAAAACGAATAAAAAACCAGGGGCGATACAACCGAGGCAATATCGTACCCTTTGCGATACAACGATAACATAACAAACAGAACTCGAAAAAAAAACGAACAAAAAATGGAAAAACTTAGGTCTACCAAAACATATATGTTTGTTTGTCTCGATAGAAGTTCATTCTGGTCGAAAGTGCCAGACAATTGGCTAAAAGATTAGCAACGAAACAATATTTACGAAGAGGAAACAAAGCCGACTATCTTTGAGCAGGCAAGTTGAGCCGGAAAAAAATGATTATATAAAAAAAAACTTTTAAGTTTGAAGTCCAACCTGGAACAACAATGAACAATACTTTCACTTGCAATGAAAGTTGCTTACAGCACAATAAAATCAGTGATGTCGCAACAAAATTACATTCTTTGAGCCGACAACAGCTCAATCGAAAAAATGATTTTTTGAGTTTTTTTTAAATCTTTCAAGACCCCCACGTCGAAACTAGAATGAAAAACACTTTCACTTGCAATTACAATGAAAGTTGCTTAAAGCACAAGAAAAATCTGTGATGTGGCAACTAAGCCGACAATCTTTGAGCAGACACCAACTGAACCGAAAAAAAAGATTTTATGATTTTTTTAAAAAATCTTTACCAAGTTTCCCTGAAAATAGACTCAACAACACTTCCTCTTGCAATTTAAATTGCTTATATCACAAGCAAATCCGTTATGTGGTAACTTAGCGAACAACAAATGAGCAGACAAATGAAAGTCCAAAAACTCAATTTTTCTCAGATTTTTTTTCTTCAATTTTATTGATACTGAAAAAAATAGAGTCCGGCCAGGACTCGATCCCCGGCCATGATGCGAAAAAAAGTTTAAAAAAAGAACGTGCAAGAAAAATTGTTCGAGGGAAAAGTCTAGTTTCTCGATTACAAGAAACTTGCCCTCGCAAGTGTAATAAGGAAAGAAAAGAAAGTAAACTAAGCCTTGAAAAATAAAAACTTTGCCGTGCTGGAACCGAACCTATAACCTGTAGACTAGGAGTCTCACGTTCTCGCATCTGTGCCACGACCGCCACGAAACCAAAACCGTTCCTCTGTCTGGTGCTACACAGATACGACAGACTAAAAAAACCACCACCATAGCTCCGCAATACGCTTCCACGTTTGACGGCTTGTTGTTTCACCGAAACAGGCACCGCAACCAGAATCACCGGACGTCTCAGTTACTGGAATCGGGGGGTCATTCTACCCAGAGGCAACCCAGCGTGATCCGCAATGTGTAGTGTCTTCTCGTCTACAATAACAAGCTTCGGCACGCAGAAGTACTGAACAAAAGCGCAGACAATTTCAGACGCACGAAATTCAACCAATGTAAACTACTCAGGGTGCCAACTAGATCAACAGAGAAAGCAGCAAAAGAAATGTGATGTGGGTGCATCAATTTACAAACAAAAATTTCTCACGCACTTCGCGGTTTTAAATTTTGTTTAGCAAACAACTACATCAGTAATGAAAAACTGTCTCAAGACAACAGTCTAAATCCGCTTTAAGCTGGAGAAAACTTATTTAAAGGAAGGAAATAACATGAACAAATACAAAGCCTCAATTTTCGGCTCTTTTGTAATTGGGCACTCTTGAACGCCCCCATGATTTCAGCCGATTGACATTAAACCATTAAAAACACTTGCTGTCGATAATGAGATAGCAATCAACAAGACATTGCAAAGTATAAAAACAGTTTGAAAAATGCTTTTCTAATAAATACCAGGCAGTGAAAGAAGATCTTAATCATGGTGTTCAGATCTATTTCCCAGAGAAACTAGCAGAGAAATGTGGGAATTTAGTTGGAAACAGTAAAATCATAATATAACGCAAATTAGGTTTGTGTTATAGACTCATTGCGCGGATTTAGAAGTACAGGTTACTAGTTGCCACCGATAAGAATTTTATGGCATCAATTTCTCTTCAACGTTTTATTGACTGAATAGGCGCAGATAAAATTCTTAACACAGTTCTTAACATAAACTTTTAACACAGTCTCGCTTAAACTATATCCATTAAATGAGTTTGCTGTATTAAAAATGAACGTGATACATAATTCTAACTCGTTCTTACTTTTGAATAATGGGTGACCACGTGTGCGCGTGTATGCACTGGTACACTTCTCTCAACTCCCCCTTCCACAGTCTCAGTCCCACCCCCCTCAAGTGACTCATCTCATCCAAACTGCGCACATTGGGGGGCAATCTCCTCCAGAGAAACTTGGCTGCAGTCAAGTCTCCCAGGATAAGGTAGATGGCATACAACCTACAAGTAAACAGCGACATTCATGCTGAAAATGACCACTTGGTCAAACGGTGGTATATAAAAACAGCCCAAGTATAAACCAGCTACCACATAAACCAGCCGAAAATGCTTAGCTGTTATATAGTTATGTAACAATTGCGATACAGTTACGAAATTCAAACAAATTTCATTCAAATGACGCAACTTTTTCGGCTGGTTTATTTACACTCGGTCAAACATACATGTTGCCACTTATCACATTTTTTATAATCTGTTCATTATCAAGTAAGAATCACGTCAATTCAATTTATGTTTCGGAAATGATTCACGAATACTTGAATTTAACTCTCACTTGTAATTTTATTGCAAGTTATACCTCCGAGATTTACTCATAGATTGTTCCATTTAATAACCTCACATTGACAAAAATTTGGCAGTTAGTTTCGAAAAAACTTTGTGTTGAATTCTATACGTTTGATAAACAAATTTATTATCAGCACTTTTTCGTGATTTTTACACTTTTGCTGTTCAATAGTAGAGTTTGCCACCCTTATAACTTTCTGAGTAAATGCGCAAAAAGTCAAAATTGAGCGTGAACAAAAAAACCACCACTAGCCAAAAAAATCACCATGACCTATATAAGAGTATTCACTACTCCTAAGCACAGTAGTTGGTTCTAATGGTATGATATGCCACACACAGTGCACTGATTCAACCGCAGGAGCTATTTTTCCTAAGCAGTTCTTTTTTTTAATTGGAAAAAACTAATTGTTTTCCTTTTCCTATTTGAACACCAAGATATCAAGCATATTCTTCAGCTAAAAGTACCCAATTTTTAATGAAATTCAAAATATCGAGCATTTTCTTCAGCTAAAAAATCAATTTCTATTGAACTTCAAAAAAAAAATCAAGATTTTTTGGCTGAAAATTTTATTTTTTGAAGACAAACTCTCAATTGATTTCCTTTTATAGATTGTTATAACACTTTCCTAAATTTCCAGCTAAATTTTTAGATATTAAGATCATTTATCCACGGGGGAAAGGACCAACACAAGAGCTGTACAGCTCATCACGGCGAACCGCGGTTGTGCCCTTGTTTAAGAACTACATGATATTTTTTTGGTTATTTTTCTGGGCTGGGTAATGTTGCTTCACCCTCAAGCAACGAGCACGGATCATGGTGGGCCTCGAACATCCGACCTTTCGATTGAGAGGCGGAGACGTAACCACTTCACCACCGCTCCCCTGCTTTTCAAGCTCTCTTCTCATGTCACTGTGCATATAACACCAGTTTCAACAGCAAATTGCACTAAATGTATGTTTTTTCTACTGATACTGTTTTTGAAATCTTGACAGAGTATGTAAATTAATGATCCTATAACTGTTCCTCGTGGAACGCAATGCTCAAAATCTCCCAGTCAGGAAATTGATTTGACACACTGTTAGTGCTCCTTTACAAAATGTTCTGAAAGACTAAATGCACTTCGAACAAACAGAAAACTAACATGTTTCCAGAAAAAAAAAATTATTTAGAAAGGGTTACAAAAATTTCAATCAATTTTTGTTTGTCCATAAGTTCATATATCATTTCTATGAAAAGATTGCAACAACACGTTCTTATTTCTTTTCCTGGAACATAAAAAGTTTGATGTCCAATAAAGACATTTTTCTAAGATAATATAATTGCTTCAACAACACAGATTAAAATGCCTTTAATAACCTATTTGAGACAATGCCCTATTTTTAGTCTAAATTTCTGCTTCACCTCATCTCAAAAACTATATTTTAGGTCAATTGTCTCAAAGAAGTGGGCAGGAAAAAAACAAGTGAATTATGAAGCAAGGTTGTTTATATTCGCACAAGAACTCAGCAGTGAGTCTATGAGAACATTTCTAACCAGCATCAGCAGTAAAATCGAAACCAGTAAAATTTAGGCGCATTTTCTCGGAGTGAAAGGTCTAAACTGTTAATGTATTCTCCAAATAATTAAATATCCGAGTTATAAAAAAACGTCCATCCCTGCATGTTCTTAAAAGCGGAGAAAAAAGATTTTTCCCGCAATTTCGTTTCCAAGTTTGCGGACCAAAAAAGCTTTAACGCGCGCCGATATTGTGAATTTTTTCTGATCCACTTTTTTTGATGAAAACTAAGATAATTCATCTATAAATCGGTAACTTCCCAAATGGCATAATTCCCAAATGGCATAAAAATGGAAACTTTTCCTAAATGGCATAAATTTCAAGTTTTCATTGTAATTTTAACGTTTTCTATCAATTTCTATTTCTATCATTTTGTCAGGAACGAAAACATGTGAACAAGATTTGGAATTAATTGCTTCCAAACAAATTTAAGCAACAGATTTGTCGAAAAAAAATTGACCACAAGAAGCTTATTAATAATCGCAAGCTTATGCTTCTTGCTTTTGATAGAAAGTTCTCCCAATTTTTCACGATAAAATGTCAATCAACATTTGAATTGACAATTTGACTAATTTTCTCACATTGTTCACGAAAAAATTGTTCTCGATTTTTCCAAAGCAACTGTTGCATGAAATTTATGCCATTTGGGAAACTTTTCAGCTTTATGCCATTTGGGAATTATGCCATTTGAGACGTAATCTATAAATCTATTTGCAATATTCCACTGGGAAATCTGATAATCTGAGATCTAACTTTTAAATGTTAAGGTAAAGCTTCATTGTTCCAGCCATTTCTATTTTAATCTTGTCAGAGCAAAATTTACTTTGGCACATGAAAAATGGGTATTTTAAAATGAAAAGTCTAATGGCCAAAACATGAATTTTTCAGCGTGAATGAATTTTGACTTTCCTGAAAAAACGCAAAAATTCATACGACCTAAATCAATATTTTACCTTCGCTCGTTTATTGTTTTGTTTAGTATAGATAACCTGGTAGAATATACAGCAAATGAGCGTCGAACACTGAGGCGGAGCAATAAGCAGAATTGTCCAAGTGCAGAATGGGTCCAAGAGCAGAAAAACAGAAAAATATTTACTTATATTGGTTTATACGGGCTAAATGATAAAACAGTTATTAGAATCGTCAAAAACTACCAAGAAAACGAATAGATCATGCATAAATTGACTAATTTCATTAAATTTTTTGATAACATATTTTTAGAAGTTCTTGTTTAATTACTCAAATTATTCATTAAATGTTCATTGCTTTAGTATTATTGACATTTCTGATATTTAATTTAAAGATTATAAGAAAAACTGATATTTTTCTGTTTTTCTGCTCTTGGACCCATTCTGCTCTTAGACCATTCTGCTTAATAACTGGCCACCGTCGAACATTGAAGAAAATCTCTGATGATAAAATATTGATGCCTAGAAATTGATGCATTCTATAACGAATTTAAAAGCTGTCGTCAATAGTTGAGTGCAATTGAACTAAGTCTGTGCACAGATAAACTGGAATGTTAATTTTACTTATTTAGCAGAGGCGAAGCTGCGCTTCGCAAACACTAGCGAGAACACGACAAAAACCAGCTCTATAGAGTAAGTAGAGCAATAACTAAACGGAGAAATAAGTATCACATTCTAAGATAATTAAAAATATAAAAATTGCAAAAAAAAACCGAAACTTTGGAACTGAACCACCTGTACCTTAAGAAGATCTACCAAAAAAGACATTTGTCTTCATTTGTCTTTATTTTCTCTTGAATAAGAATTCCTTTCATGAAAATATTCCTAGAGGTAAGACAATTGAATGTTAAATACGGATCGAAACAAAACTTATAAAGCCGACATTTCTTGAGCAGACAATTTGCACTGAAAAAAATTCTTTAAAATTTGAGTCTCAATAAAATCAAAAAGCCGAAATATTTTAAGTAGCCACGGAGATGACCACTATTTCAGTCATCCTATGAACAAAATTATTTACGGGAAAAAAGTCTAGAGCCCGATAACAATATCTTGCTCATCGCAAGGGTAACAATTTAGGCCGCCAACTGTATTTTCGTCTTTTTTTTTCAAGAAATTCTCAATATTTATTTACACTGAAATTTATGTTTTGGCCAATTATCTTGATTTTGTCTTAATTAAAGATCGCTCTGATATTAAAAAAAGTGGGTAGGACTGGAACAAAAGAGCTGGAGCGTCAATCAAAAGTAAAAGCGCAGAATACATTTGGCACTTAATTCTGAAAAAAAAAACTTAAAATAATCACGACCTATATAAAAAGTCTTCACTGCGTTCATTTACACTTAATTTCATATGAAATAAGTTTCTCAAATTATAACTCTTGAAATTCATCCAGCCTTAAAGCAATCTGTTAATTGAATTTCAAGCTACAAGTTCAAATTTTTGACGGACTGGACTAGCGTGACAAGGACGTGATAAGCTCAAAGGACACTAGCCTGGAGTAAGCATTTGGGTCCATACCAGACTGGGACAGAGTGACATCCAGACTGAGCTCGGCCTCCTCCAGGATACTGGCCTCCTCCCTCAGAGACACGACAGAGAAACAGTCCCCCTCCCCCTCTACACACAACATACTCGCACTCTTTTGCACTCCCCTCACTACAGCATTAAACTTTCAAGCTTAGTATTATGTTACTAGCTTAGTATTATGTTACTAGCTCTGCATTCACAATAATATGACCGCTCAAGTTCAAAACTAGTAAATATTGTCGCCGAAATCGACTTCAGAAAAATTTCATGGATGTCATGAAATGGATGTCATGAAATAATACCAAAGCACCCCCCCCCCCATAAATCCGCCCCTTCATGGCCACACCTTTTATAATTTTAATAGTTTTTTATAATTGACATTATAGTTTATCAAATTGTTCAAGTTCGGTGATGGGAGTGGAGAAGAGACCAGCTCACCGCAATTCAGGGTTTGGTCATCCCCAGAGGCACATGTCATGTCCATCCGAGTCATACTCTAACTGAAAATGAACAGGGCACTAGAAAAAAGTGAAGGTGAAGCTCTGAGCATACGAGACTTGAAAAATCAAATTCCTAGTACAGTCGTTTCAAGACTAATGATTCCCACGATACCAAGCTGAAAAAAACTACTTCGCTTTTCGTTCAGCAAATGAACTCAGCATTAAAGTCTCAAATCAAATTTCAAACCAACAAAAATCAGTCAACAAACCGCACGATCTCAATTAATTGGTACTTTAATTCATTAACATTCACACTGAGACAAAACGGAGTTTCGCAGCACTTGCGATATAGCGCAAGCATGGCATGGCAAGCTAGCGTATAAAACACTAGACTGAAATCACGTCGAAAATATTAAAATAGAAGCAAAAGAAAAATTCAACTTAAAAAAACAATGATCAAGAAATACAAACATCAGCATTAAAAAAATTGCACTCAACGAGCGGCTACTAAGCCAAAAAATACTTTGGTAGACGCCCGTTCATGGCCAAAAACGAAAAATGCAATAAGAAATAAGAATAATTTTTAAAAGTTGAAGCCAACACATTCCATTCCCCCGGAAATGCTCAAAGGAATAGAAAACAGGGTATTTCCCTTTCAAACTATGCAAAATAAAGTGACCAAGCCGATAAAAATTTTCGAAAACTATTTGATCGAGAAAAAAATTTTATAAAAAAAAAAGAAAATAATTATCAGATTTATTTTGAAAATCCGAATTAGAAAAATTACAAACATAGGAACGACTGTCAGTTATGGCAAAAAGTGTTTAAATTGGACGAAGATTCCAAACTTTCGAAAATCAAACGACAAAAAGAACAGACAAACGAAAGTCCGACCATTCGATTCTTTCCCAAAAAAAATCCAACTGCAATTATGCTCCGAAAAAAAACAAGGTTCGGCCGCGATTCGAACTCCAAGCCTTAGCACGAATTAGCACCCGCATTACTGATGGACTAAGTGAGAAGGATCCTGGAAGTTGTTCAGGTCCAATATTGAAGCCAGTTCTATTTCTTGCAGATTCAGTGATGTCCATTGAAAAAAAAATAAAAATTGAAAATTAAATTGAAATTGTTTAAGAAAATTATAAAAATTGTTGGCATCAATTTAAATTTTTCCGAAACTATTTAAATTTTTCTTGTGAAATTTAAATTTTTGATTAGTCTGTTTTTTAGCAGTTTTTCTGCCAACTTTGGGGAGTTTTCGCAATTTTGTGAAACGAAGTCCAAAGTAATTTTTTGGGCATATCTATTTGCTACAAAAATGCATCAATATTGTTGTGAAAATTTAGATTGTTTGCTTTTTCCGCGGAATTGTGAAATGCGAAATTAAATGTCAAGCGTAAACTCAGTACTTTGGGGTCGGATCGAATACCGCCGGAGCAATTTGAATTGTTTTTAATGGACATCACTGTGCAGATTTATACAAGAAGTTATTTATTTACGGGAAAAAAGTCCAGTATCCGCTTAAATAAATAAAAAAGTAAAAATAACGACTGAAAGAGTTTTAGATGATACCTAAATTATAACTTCTGAGCTTCATGGTAGACATCAAACCAACTGACAAGTTTTAGAAAACTGAGTCTACAGTTACTAGTTCAGGCTGGAAAAACTAACATTTAAAATCCAAATTCCAAACTTAAGGCCATCCGCGTTTTTTCGGGTCATTTATGCTTTTCTATTTTGCCTTCGTTAAAACTAATGAATATACAAGTCTTAAAATGTGTCAAAATATACAAGTCTTTAAAGTTCAACTAAGGAAAATGCAAGTCTTAAAATGTGTTCACGCTCAAACTTGACTTTTGGGAGATTTGATTTCTGATTTTTTAGTTCAGTTCAAACAATTTGAACTGAACTAAAAAAAATTAGAAATCAAACCAACAGAAGTCAAATTTGAGCATGAACACATTTAAGACTTTTCTTGAAAAAAGTAAGAAACAACACGCTGTCTGAATGAGTGTCTTTACTACATCCATTGGCACTTAATTAAAGTATTTCTTACAACATAAGGTAGAACAAAAACGCCGTTTAACAAAAAAATCAGAAGACAAACCATGAAAAATCATTACAGCCCATATAAATGACTACCACTTCGTTCGTTAACACTGCAGCATATTATGCACACGAAACGGGATTAACAAAACCTTTTTATCATCTGAAATAATCTGCATAGCCACTTCTTTGAATAAAAAAAGATGTCGACATTTCAATTTTTGCATAGCCGTGCAAAAGAAATCTCGACTGGAAACTCAAATGGCATAAGGATTTTTAACCAATACTTCCACAAACAAGAAAATATTGTTCTCACCACGCAGAAAGAAGGAGCTTATTTCTGGCGCGTTTTTCTTTCAAGCAAAATCGGGTACCAAAACACGTCATACAAATTGTATCACATACCAAATGAAGTTTTTTCACTCGTGATTCGAGCTATATCAAAAAAATTCTAACCTTTTACAGTGACAATCCAAATCGGCATTTGTAATATAAGCTTAATCAGTCTGTAAATAACTTATTTTTGAAGCTGCAATTCTCACCTTTTCCCTGATTGCGAAAAATTGTTTCCTCGAAAAAATCCAACTTTTTATAAATGCCAATGTAATTTGCAAAGGCATTTCAAGTCGGAAACTTCGATGCTGTTTCCAAGTCAAGCTGCTATTCTTTCTAAAGTTCGAGTTTTTCTAGGTATAATTTAACCGGTATAATCGGGTGAATAGCAATTAGAGTAAAATCAATTAAAGAAAAAAAATTGAAAGAAATGGAAAATTTTCGAAATATTTAATGTTAACACTATTTGATTGTCAAGATGTCCAGCATAATGACCGGCATTTTTTCTGAAATTTTTCCATTCGATGAATTTTTTATTCCGCAGAGAATTTTAAAAATCAGACCATTTTTGAAACTTTCAAGTAAGGAAATGAACTGCACTTGAAAACAAAACAAAAGCCAAACCGCGATAATCAAATTTGAGGGTGAACAGATTTAAAGACTTTCTTCTGAAAACAAAAAAAAAGAAATATCACGACATATATGTGACATTAACATCGTTCTTTTACATTTGAAAATCATTTACAGAAAATATGTACGTTTAAACATAGTGTTAACCTTCATAAACAAGAGTTTTCCATAGTCTTTATCTTCATAAAGAAGAGTAACCTCCACAAAGAATATTTAAAAAGCAGAAAAGATTTTTATTCAAATTTTATCAAAAAATTAAGACTACATGAGGGCAAAATACCATCTGATCTCTAAGGTTCTTTTTCGATAGCCCAATGACTGGGAGTTATCAGGAGAAAATCATTTCTGAAATTTTAAATCTGTAGTTTTCAATGTACGTGTTGTGTTGCACATCTGTCATGGATGGGTAATTGCATGCACAGGAAGGTGCCATTCAAAACAACTCGAGATGGAGTTTCTTTAAGGACGTATAAGGGGAAAGTTTCTCATCTAATAGGTTCTGGGGGCATGGTATTTTATTTTAAGTTCCCATAGCAAAAGACAAGTAACAAAGACGAGTGAAATCAAGTAACAAAAGCCTGAAAAGAAAAAGACCAAAATGATTCGAGGCCTGAATAAATAATTTAACTTGAACAATGATATTCTAGGGCAACAATAATCAAAATTAAAGAATCAACAATTTAGAACATTATCAAACACACTTTCGACAGTTTTTTTCCATAGAGCAAACATAGAGCAAAGATCGTGTTTGTTGAACAGTCTTTACAATTGAGTGATTCCCAGCCATCATTCATTTAACAAAATTTTTCCTCTCGATTTGATGTTCCTTTTAACATTTTACATGGACGCATTCATTGTTTTGGACAGCATTTTGTTTTTTATTAGATTTCTAAAGTCACAACTTCTCTGACATTCACTATCTTCCCTGTCACAATTTCGCCCGATTTGAACACCCGATTGGAATTTGCGTTTTGTCTTAATAATAACACGGGCACTGCATCTGCAGGACTGCCCATGAATCTATCCAAGTCGCTGACTTTCCTCAGAGCGAGAGAAGGCGGGACATTGACTGAATAGCCATGGTCGATGAGAAACACTGAAAACTGGCGAGGATTCTCACTTTGAAGACGCATCACTTGGGCTCTGTGATACACACACAACTCTAGTATTTCTCGACTGTAGTAAAACACCAGCTGGCCTATTGAAGTTTCATTGTCGGATACTTGCCAGCATTCGTCTGGCACACTTCGACTTAAATTCAGTGCGAATCGTTTAAACTTATCAGTTTCCATATTGCAACGGAACTTGGCGAACATGAAGTTCTCACAACTTTCCGATAAAACTTCCATTTGAACTGTCTCTCCAACTAACTTCTCATATCTTGTCACATGGAAGGGTATTGTTGATTTAATTGCATTCACATAGTCAGCTTTTTCACTCTCCAATTTCACTTCAGGCGGTATTGTAATATCCCATTTTTGATACCCAGTTAATGCCATGAAGTGTCGCAGATCATACACTCTGGCAGAGTAAACAGTCGCTAACATTTTATCCCGCCCACTTTCTTGCATGCATCCTCGAATACCAACGTACACTTTATCTTTATCGTTCAAAACCGTGTCAAGCATTTTTTTGATGTACAATTTGTTCAAATTAGCGTCGAAGTCGTCCGCAAACTTTACCCCAAGAAGAGAGAAAGTTGAGAACAAGGCGGGCACGTCTGTGAATGCTCCAAGAGGAAGCATTTCATTTCTCTTCACATTTCTGTTATTTCCAAAATCGGCGAATTTTACCTAAACACTTTTCATGGTAAGCAATATCTATGCAATCAAAACAATAATTGTTTTTAAAAAAAAAATTCAAAAAAAATACTGATATCACAATGACAAGAAACACAAATTCGTTCTTCAAGTTAATTAGTAAGAGAGCCTGAAAAAATTCAGTTGACCGAAACAACAAATAAATGCAGAGAAACGAACCTTAAACTTATCACCTTCCGTGTTCAAGAAATTTGCTCGAAACCATTTTTTCTCTTCTTCGTAATAGGCACAAGCTGCCATGTTTTCATACAAGTCTGGTGCACAAAACCCTCCTCCGACATAACGTCCATTGATGAACTTATCCACTTCAGTGTTGATTCTCTGCTTCAAAGAGTCGTTCAAGTCTTTCAGAACTCCGAATAAAGTGACTCCATCAGGAGCGAAAGCTTCGAATTGAATCTCGTACATCAACACTTTCGGCACTTCCAGGGCCTTGTAACTGCAGTTGGGCTTGATAACTACATGTGTGGAAACATCACCTACTTCATCCATGATTTGGAAATCTCTGATCCCATGTAAAGTCAAGTCGAACTTTGGGTTTTCGAGACCGTTATCTTGCAAGTCCTGGGCTACCAGTTGCATTGGGTCCCAAAGAGGAACTTGTTCAAACCCATCCACAGTTTCCATCTTTCTAGGAATTGCTTTATCTGGACTAGGAGAAAACAAATCGGGCTGAACGAATTCAATGGTGCGTGAAACTGAGCTACTTGAAGTTGCTTTTTCAACAGCGAGTGGCGTCATGTTCACTGACTCCTTCTTCATAATACCTGCCTCCTTCTCAAGGTTGTTCAAAAATGCTGCAACACTCATACTTGTTGCATCTCCATCTGTGATTGCGTTGTTATTGTTATCAGATCCCGCACTGACTGTCGACTGTTTTGACGTTCCTGCAATATCTGGGTCGGAAGGTTCAGTTTTGGAATTCTTTCTGGATTCTGGTTGTTTTGAAGTATTTGCACGGCGAGAAATAGTTGGCTTAGTTACAAAAAGAACAGTTGGCGCTGCTTCTTCTTCGTCGTCGTCTTCATCGCAATCTTTGTAGTCAGCGTGTTCAAATTGCTCGGCACTTTCGGATTTCTCGTCATCAGTTTCAAACCCGCTCAAATCTTTACCAGAGGATGACACCGACTGTCCACATGATGACATATTTTCGCTGCTTTTTTGTTCCCAGCATTTTCCATTGTTAGCACAATCCTCGGAAAAGTATGCTTCCATATTGTTACATGGGCCATCAATATCATCGCGTTTTTCGAGAACATCCGAATCAGATCGATTTTCTTTGTTGTGATTTGGTGCAATTCTTCTAGCCTTGAAATTGCACGCATCATTGATAGTCTTTTCTCTCATCCTGTGCTCGTTGAGTTTCTTTTCAAGTCTTCCCAAGGCCAGCGATCTGCTTTTCACAACAGGCTTTTGACACTCAGGTAAACTAAGAACATTGTCTTTTTCTAGACTAATTTGCTCATCTTTACCATTGGCAACTAACATACCCCCAGGGTTCCTGTTGGTAATTGCCAAGCCATTTATTTTCAAGAAATACGACACTGGAACGAAATCAGATTTGAGCCTCGAATGTTCGCTTTTGTTTGTGGCTGCAGGCCCAATGTGGTAAACTTCAGAAAAGTCAACATGATCCCAGTACTTGAAGGCAGACACCATAGGGCGATCTCGCTTGAGTGACAGATCGACGAAGATGTCATTTTCAGAAAAGAGTCGCTGCATGGCTTCTTTGCTATTATTGGACCACTTCCCACTGGAACTTCCCGCCGGCGAGATCAGACTTAATTCACACTTACAGGCCAACCCTATTGAAATTCTGTCACAGTTGTACATTAAGAGGTTTTCTCTTTCGACAAGTCTGCGCAGTCCGTAGTCAATTAGAAATACCTCTATTTTCTCCCCTTGAAACTTGACCAGGAGACAACGTACTAACTTTCGATCTTCATCATCGTCGAGTAAAACTAAGGCAGCCATAGCTGTGCTTTCAGCTTAAACAGAGTTAAAATTTTAACTTTGGTGGATTAGAGAACAGGTTACTTTTCGAATACCTGCTTCACTTACATGAGATGATCTCTTCCAAAGAATCAAAGCGCGTCAATATCCCTTCAGAAGTAGCCACTTGCAATTCACACTCTACATCTGTAATAGGATCGTTGCCACCAATGTCCAACACTCGAAAGTAGAAATTCCACGGATCCTCCAGGTTGGTCATGTGCACCTTTCGCATCTCCAGCGAAGGCAGATTCAATTTAAGCTTGGCTGGGTCTGCTGGGGCCTTTTGAATGTCGTCCATGGTCAATGAAGCGCCAAATGATTCTGCTTCTGGCTCGTTTTTCTCATTCTCCTGGTCAAATAAGGAGTCGAGGGAACCTAAAATATACAAAAACTGTGGATCTTGAACAAAATCGGATGAGGTCAAAACATCCCTTCTCTTGGTTCTACTTCGAAATTTCTCTATAAAAATCGAGCATGTTTCACTAAGCACTGACCAATTTTAGAGCAATTAAATTGGTGCAGTAAAAAATATTCCAGCCTCGCATCATCAATTCAGTGGGATGCGAGAGAAAAAAAAGAACTTGAACACAGAAATTTATCCTCGAAGTTTTTTTTTAATCGGTGTTCTCAAGGATCAAGTATCATAGTAAATTTCACTACATGGTCTCTACTAAAATCCGATAATTCTTTAAAGCAAGCGGAGCTTTGCGCCAATTGCGATACATAATATACACCAGTGTTCGGGACTAAAAGTTGACAAGAGTAGTTTTGAAATAGCTAATACTTATCAAAACTCAATCCAACCTGAGCGCTCTATTTCTTTTGCCACCAATTTCTGCCTGGTCAAAATATCCGCAACTAACTCTGGTTCGCTCCCCTTTCTAAACAAGACTATCAGCTGCACATTGTATTTATTCGTATTTTGATCGATGGAAACTACTTTCAGCTTCGCAATCCTGTTGAGCAGCAACTTCTTAGTGCCTTCCATTGCACTCCTGCCCCACATGGGTCTATTGTCGAGTGGCTTCACTCCATGCAAACTGCACAGAAACACAACAGACGGATACTTCTCCAACAACTCCATCGGAATCTTCCTCAACTTGTCCACAGTGACCACCACTGAGTTGCCGAAATCCACGAAGAACACTTTGATCTCTCCGAAGTGATTCACTTCCACGACTATAGCGCGATAGAAGCCACATGAGTCATCTATTTCAAAGGGGGCCAAGCAGTACATACCCTCATAGGGGCACAGTATCTTGCACTCTTCTCGATCGCCCAACTTCTCAACGAAGTCTTCGATCCCACTCAAAAGCGCTTTCTGTTGCTCATTGCGCACAGGATCAGCTAGTCTGCAATAGAAGTGAGACGGGTTTATGAACTCTGTTACTATTACTCTATCAGAAAACTGTTCACTTGCAAACAGAATCTCACTTCTGAGGTAGAAAGGATACTTTGGTCGCATAATATTAGTCTTTTGAGCATTTTGCTTGTCGATAAATTTGGCATGTTTTCTGAACACCATCGAATGACAAATTGAAGCCGGTGAGTCACTGTACAACTTGACATTGTCAACAGAGCCAGACATTTCATACAGATCCATCCAACTTTTCCCATACTCGGTGGTCGTACAATTTGTGGCTACCAGGGTGCGTCCAGCGACCAGAGATTTGAAATACAACAGAGAATCTTCTGTCCATCTTCGATTTCGGTCACGCATCAGAGTAGCACCTTGTAGCAAATCATGTTTTGGTGCCAAGTTCAGTAGACCCCCATGCATCGCAAAAGGTGGGGTTGTATGCAGCAAGTATTGTGTTGAAGGCACCTTTATTTCCGAATTTGAGCAGTAAGCTTTGTTTCCATAGTCCACGAATGACACTAGCACTGAATCGGGAAAGCGAGAGGAGACGCCTACTTGTTGAAGCACTTTCGCTCTGTACCAGCTGAAACAATTACGGCAAAGTTCAATTACACACCAAGTTGAAACATGACATGTAAGTTGCAGTACATGAGCGGAATTTTCCAACATATTTTAATTGCAAAACCAAAATATAGCACACAGAAAAATGGAAAAGTGTCAATCAACTCACCGGAAGAAAAATTGACTTTTTAAACAACTTTCGATGTTCGAAAAAATAGATCACGTAAAAGCGCTTTGAAAGAGTCTTTTATGATCGACGTTTTTTCGCAGAAAAAACGGAGCTTCGCAGCACCTCTCAACGATCTTATGCGTCAGTGATTATTGGGAAACTAAAAAAACGGATGGAAAAATTAAAAATATAACCAAAAGCGAAAGATTTCCAAAATGTAATTTAAATTTACAAACAAGACTGCTTGTATCAGGGCGAAGCCCCGATTGTTCCGACTGCCTTTTAAGGTTTATGGAGCAGCATAAAGCTTTTTTCTAAAATTTAAATATTTTTATGAAAATTATCCCCCCACACGCCATTTAAAGTACAAAAAGATAGATTTCGTTCCTTGTAACAAATCAATTATGGCAAATAAGCTTCGTTCAACCAATTTGGAACGATTTATAAGACGGATTAAATCTCCGCTTATGCGTTAATAGCGCGAATTATATCGCGCGTTAATTGTCCCAAATTGGTCAAAATGCCCAAAACGGCGATCTTTAAGCCCTCATAACTTTACGAAAAATGATCACAGGTGAAATGTCTTTTCAAATTTAAGCTCAGGACAACAATACCTTTTGAATGATACTAAAAAATTCCGTCAAAAATCGCTAGTTAAGAAGTCGAAATTTGTCTGAAGAAAAAAAAACCCACCCCGAGCACAAATATTCCGTTACTTTCGTATCGAAAGTCGGAACAAAAATACTGAAACTAAACACGAAAAAAAAAACAGATGAAAAAATGACAATGTTGAAAAATCTGAAGAAAAACAATTGACTCTAAGCGCAGAAAAAGCCTTATCAACGATTTTTTAGATGAGAAAATTTCAGCGATAAAATTCCATTTCAGATATCTATCAACCTATAAAATTGAAAACAAATTTTTCAGACAGAGCCTGAAAAAACCTAGCAGCAAATTTGCGAAAGTTCAAAAATCTATCGCCAAAAAATTTTTCAAAAAAAATTACTTCAACTTCATTGAACATGAATAGTACCGCAACAACTTAAGTAGTTCTTTTAGAGAAATTAAATCAGCTTGCGGTTAACTCATTTGTGAAAGCCAAAGCTAAAAGTCATAGTTATTGCTATTCCGCAATTTAATTTGGAAAGAAATACAAGTTACTAGAAGCAAATCATACAAGACTGCTCGTATCAGGGTGAGGCCTTGAATGTTCCGACTGCCTCTTAAAGTTTGTGGAGCAGTGATAACATTAATGAAATAAAACAAAATGAATTTTCTTTTCTAAAATTTGAAATTTTTTATGAAAATCATCCCCCTCACGCCATATAGAGTACAAAAGGGTAGATTTTGCTCCTTGTAACAAATCAATTATGGCAAATAAGCTTCTTTCAACCAATTTGGAACGATTTCTAAGACGGATTAACTCTCCGCTTACGCGTTAATAGCGCGAAATATATCACGTGTTAATTGTCCAAATTAGCCAAAATGCCAATCTTAAACCCCCGTAACTTTACAAAAAATGATCACAGGTGAAACATCTTTCCAAATTTAAGCTCAGGACAACAAAACTTTTTGACTGATATAAAAGAAAAATACCGCCGAAAATGGCTAGTTAAAAGTCGAAGAAAAAATCTTGACCGAAGAAAAAAAACCCACCCCGAGCACAAATATTCGGTTACTTTCGTATCGAAAGTCGCAAAAATAACACCACAAACATATTGGCTAAACAGCTTTCTATAAACGACTGCTGAGAAAATGCACCGACATTCTGTAACCGAAACAAATAAAACGAAAAAATGAATAGCCCTCAACATACAACACACTGTATAGAACGTTGAAATTTCGACAAACTGGCGAGGCGGTGTAAACGGGGAAGGGGATGTAAACGTGGGGACATGTGGGAAAGTAAACGAGGAGGTTTAAGCGGGGGAGGGTTGGTGTAAGCTGGGGGAGTGTAAACTGGAGGGACGACAAAGGGAGGTATATTAGATTAGTGAGAGAACATAAAGAACAGCAAAAAACGAAAAACTAACAACTTATGAGAGAAATTGTGAAGCTAAAAATTGAAAACACGACAAACATTTTTTGAGCCAAATCAAATCTCGTTTTATCTGTAATGTGTATCAGCCAAAAACAACTTAAGTTTTGAATATACTGCACTGTATTTGAACTTTTCAAAAATTTCAAAAAAATGTTTACTCAGAGGTCAAATTGCACTTCGCTTACACAGGCAACAATATGACCGATAACGCTATTGGGAAAAGCTGAATGAGTAAAACTTTTAATTTGCGAACTTAAACATTCAATTTGCGAACTTGCGACCTTCAACATTCAATTTGCGAACTTCTGCTATCCTCACGGCTTACTTGAATTCTAAACCTACTCAAATTTATGACGCCTGTTTAATCCCCGCTACCACTCAATTTCTCCGTACTCCTTGACCGCTTTCTCAGATTTTCTGTTCCCCCATGTTTACCCCCCCTCCTCCTTCACTTTACCCAACCTCCCCCGGGGGAGGCGGTAAATGTGGGGGAGCGGGTGTAAACGGGGAAGGGGATGTAAACGGGGGGACGGGTGGGAAACTAAACGAGGAGGTTTAAGCGGGGGAGGGTTGGTGTAAGCTGTGGGAGTGTAAACTGGAGGGACGACAAAGGAAGGTATATTGGATTAGGGAGAGAAAATAAAGAACAGCAAAAAACGAAAAACTAACAACTTATGAGAAAAATTGTGAAGCTAAAAATTGAAAACACGACAAACATTTTTTGAGCCAAACCAAATCTCGTTTTATCTGTAATGTATTTCAGCCGAAAAAAACTGTAAAATTTTGAATATACTGCACTGTATTTGAACTTTTCAGAAATTCCAAAAAAAATGTTTACACAGAGGCGAAGTTGCAGTTCGCGTACACAAGCAACAATATGACCGATAACGCTATTGGGAAAAACTGAACGAATAAAACTTTGAGTCTAAAAAATTTGCACGCCAATTGTCACAGAGTGACGCACGCCAATTATCAGTCAACATAATTGCTAAGTGACGCAAACCAATTATGACGCATTAGCAGTACCGGTCAATTATAAAAAAAATTCACCAACTAACACGCCTCAATTTATAGAGCGGACGCATTTTAACTAGTACACGAAAAATTTCATCTGAAACATCCGACTCTGCTAAGGTTCGAACCCTCTTATTTTGTTGCAGGTCTCCTTCCCTACCTCTACGCTACAGATCCATCATACCTTAAAGCTTAAGTGCTATTTGTAATATAATAGTCTGTCTTATTATCCTTAGCATTGGCTGTGTTTAATAGCTGGTTATTGATCAGAATGAACACTTTCAAAAAGAACACATTTTGCCGCAACAATATTTGCGCCGCAACAATATTTGCGCCGCAACAATATTTGCGACTTAGGTTGAAAAAAAAGAGAGTTCATACTATAACACAAACTTTGATTGTGTAATAATCCACTTAATTGATTATATCTTGTAAATCATTATATTTAATTGTAACCGATTAAAATTGATTTGACCAAAGTTAAATTATGCCAACATTAGAATCGATTATTTTATAGAGACTGCCAAAGGAAATCCAATTAAATCGATTTTGCACAAAACTCCACTTAGGGTTGAGCCACCAAAAATAGAACTTTTACTTGCGACTTACGTTGGAAAAAAATTACATCGAAGGCACCATATAGAAATGATATTAATTCACTAATAATAAAGCAAAACCTTTCCATTGAATCATCAAACAGACAGAAAAATTAATTGAAAAGGACTGAAATCAAGAGAAAATAGCCAACATACAGTTGGAAAAAATAAACGAACGCAAGGAAAAAAAACCAACTTGTTTTTGTAAAAACTTCAAGTTCCGAAATTAAAAGAAGAAATATATTCCTTTAAAGCTCGTTGAAATTCAAGAACAATTTTGTGATTCGTGATTTTTTGATAAAATTAAACCAATTTGAGAAATTTGGATCAGAAGGTAAAATTTTCATTCCACTGGGAAATCTGAAAATTAAACTCCACTTTCGACCCTAGAATTAGATCACGTTTCTCATGACATTTACATTTTCGCTGCTCGATAGTGGAATTTGTCTTCCTTTTAAAAAAAGAAATTAACTGCACTTAAAAAGAAATCAAAAGTCAAAATGGGAAAAATCAAAATTGAATGTGAACATCAATTGATTTTCTGAAAATCAAACAAAATCTCCAAGATCTTTGAAAGAGTCTTGGCTAAGCTCATTGTTCTTAATAATGGGTCACTGTAAAAATCAGCGTAAGTTGAGTATGAAGCTAAAAGAATTACTTGTTGTCGAAGAACTTTGCCAATACCATACTATCCACTTGCAGTTTAGACAATGTTCTCAAATTGGCAATGTTGCTCTGCTGGTCCGCAACCAGACTTTGAATTCTGTGGTTCAACTTGTCCAGATCACTTTCCGAATCCGAGATTATGAAATAAAAATCAACTGGAGTTTTCAGATGGGTTATTTTAACAATATACCCAAAGGCTAACATCCTCGGCCATGCAATGTTTGGGAATTGTGAAAGCGCTATACTGTCGATACAAAAGCCATCCATATTTTGAACGTCTGGGCGCTTATTTCTCTCAGCCACCAACTTAGTCAAGCACAGCTCGTCTTTTCCATTCGATTTCTGGAACCTTCTGTACTCATAGTCATACAGCGCAATTATTGGTTCTTTGTTCATGAATGAGACTTTGCCGAAATTCTCGACTACCTCTTCGATATCAGTTTCATCAATTTGAAACATCAACTCAAAGGAGTCAAGCGCTTCGTAATTCGATATAAAACAACTCGGCAACGAAACTATCGCGTTTAATTTTTTCAACTCTGTAGTTACACTTTCGCAGTCTTGTGTTTTTTGTTCGATACATTTTAGCAGCTCACTCACATAGTTGCTAATTATGTTACTCGATTCCTGACACTTTCTCACTTCGCTTAACTTCTGATGACAGAACTCCTTCACGTCAACAAACTGTTTCTTTAAGCTCAGCTGCAGTAAGCCCATGATTTGCATATATCGCATGTTCAACTGTTTTATTTTCATTTCAGCCAGACTTTCAATTTTACTCGCTAGCTGTTCACTTTGAACCTCCGAATTTTTCAGATCGTTTTGGAACCTTTTGGCGCTTTCTAGGGCCAAATTTGGGTCTGGAATATTACTGCCAGTTCTCAAGAGGTTATGTCCCGTGTGATTGCCTGTCTTATTAGACTGGAACAAGCAGCCTACACAAAGATAGATATCACAAGTTGAACAAAAACAGTTCGCACTAACAGTCGGATGCTCAGTACACGCATCCAATTTGGTGTCCGATGGAATAATTCCAATGGCCTGGTGAGTCTGATTAGTCTCTGCGTGGTTCTCTTTGAAACACTTCTCACAACACAGCACAAAACAATGATCACACACGACAACTGCCTTTGCACTGTAACACACAGCACAGCTTAGTTCCGCTACATTTTTGCCAAATGGAGAGTTCCCCAAAGCAAACATAGCATTTTGCGCTTTCCTGGGCCTTGTCGGTTTTTTAATCAACCTCGTTCCTCCAATTGAGCTGGCTTGAATTTCTTCAAACCCTGTCTTGCCCATAACAGAGAAGCCACATGTCACGACATTAGCAATGGGTTCCATTAAATTAGCCGTTTCATTTTCGCGGTAGGATAATGCATCATACGGGTGACATATGCGGCAGAATTTTTCTTGACTCCACTAAAACAAGATTTTGTAAGCATGCTATTCGCGAGAAAAATCGTCTTTCTAGCATCGCACTTGCAATACAAAAAGTGTAAGATTAAGACAAGTCTCAAGAACTATCAAAGCGGACTGATAAATTTTTTTATGTTTAAATGTATCAAAATTTTTTAACTAGTTCCAAGTGGGGTTGAAATTGAGCTATCGAAACTTAAAATTGGGGCCCAAATCTTATCGATCTCATGGATGATAATGCAAAAAAGTAGTTGTATGTTGCAGTACCTTTATCGTTACAGGCGTTTTCGTTACCTCCAGGCTAAGTGTGCAGGAGACACTCATAAATTTGAATTCATTATGAAGGAAGGTACCACCAGGATAGCAATAATAAAAGTTATTAAGTGGTATGGTTTTCCCATTTAATTTCAACACCTCAAGGAAGCTCGTACGAGGTCAAAAGCGGCGAATAAAAAAGAATTCATCAGAAACAATGCCGTAGTAAAAAACACTGTCGGAGGGAACAATCGAAAGAGTAGCTCTCATTATTAAAGGTGTCCCAGAAAACACACGAAGAGATGACTATATAGAACTGAGATTACTTCTACTTAAAACCCACTCAAGCAATTGTTTATTGTCAAAAATTGTATTTTGGAAAAGCTATTTTGAAATAATTCAAAAAACCTATTGATCCATTGTTTTATTATGTTGAGGAATCGAATCAATTTGGTTCCCAAAATTTTAACAATAAGCGGTATTAAACTGAACACACATTTGAATCCGGGAGCTTCGCGTCACTTGCGAGACAAAATAATAATGACATTGAAAGCTAGCAGAGAAAATAAAGTAAACTCACTGGAATGAAAAATATGATTTTAACACATAATGATGTCAAAACACAAAGCCCAGTGATCCGTTTGCATTGAGGCAAAAATCAACAATCGGTAACTAAGCAGGCAAAAAACTGGTAGACTCCCGTTGAGCTGAACAGAAAAAAAAACAAAGAAAAATTTAGGCGAAAATAAATTTTGAAACCCCACTTTTACATCCCCACAGAGGCAGACAAAAGTATTACTATGAATTCTCGCCCTCTAGGCGACCTATTATGAGGCAACTAAACCAGTACAACAGAGCGGGGAAAATAAATTCAAGTATCTTTAAGAATGATAGATAGGGCACACGGTTTCAGATAAATCCGAAATTTCAAGATACCAGATGGAACTAAGCCGACAAAAGAAACAGAAACCGGATATACCGAAAACATTGTTTTCATAAGAAGAAATCTTACCGAAAAAATACAGGTCACAGCCAGAACTCAAAACCAGGTTTTTGTGGTCCTAAGCATGGATAGTACCTCTAGGCCAAGTGTGCAGAAACATTCATTTGATTGAAATTGATCATGCAGCACGCCACCTCTAGTGCGAATTGTTCGAACGAAGTTGTAAACGAGAAAAGGTGGCAAGGGCAATACTTAACTAACAAAATCGAGACATCAGAAATCAATTTTCACTCAACTAGAATTAAGCACATAAAAACCATGCCAAGAACTTAAGAAGCACCATTTTTTGATTGATCCAACAGCGCACAGTCGCCCACATAGACATTAATTTAGCATTAACTATGTTTGAATGAACCTGAGTTTTGCATCCAACACACACACTGTGTCCACACCTGGGCAACACGTAGAGAGTCATTGTCAAGTAAGGCAGCCCACTCTCCTTGTCCAGACCGACACTGCCCTGCTTGTCACACTTCTGACACTTGGCACCACACTTGGGGGACCTCGCTGATGCTATGGGAGAGGGAAGAGAGGAAGAAGGAAATTGGAGCAAAGACTGCGGGCTACAAAGGCCACCGTCCACAAAGTCACCAGACATCTCGTTTCCTTCTGGAACTGATATCTTTCCCGTGATTATCTGTTCATAATGCCCAGTTGTTACAATCTGAAAACCAGAACAATAACAAGAATTGTAAACTTACTTCGCAGACGAAAAAGCATTTACTCACAACTGTCACAAAAACATTGACGATTTTTATTATGCAATTAAATAACAATTTCGGTTTAATTTTTTTTTCATCGTTTTCTATGATTTAACAACTTATTGGACAATTAGAAAGAACAAACAGATATATGAAAAAGTCTTATCCTTTTCCCAGTTCTATTACATTAAAGATCTAAACATTGGTCATAAAATTTCGCTTTGGTCGTCAGTATCTAACATCTTCAAAAATTTTTTAGCTTCAGATTTTCACCCTAAATTCTGCAACATCAAATGCCTCATCAATTTTTCTTTAATTAGTTCGAAAGATAAGGGCGGTCATATTAAGAGTGGTCGTATGGCGCAGAAGAGTCGTCGTATGGCGGGGGTGGTCGTATGGCGCAGAAAATTTGGCCAAACAGGGACTCTTTAGTGCTTTGGCAGAGCTCGAAAAATCAATTTGGTTGACCTAAAAAATGTCGAAAAAAATGATAAATTTTGAAAAAAAAATAGGGGAATCGAAATGTTCGTATGTCTCGATGAAGGACAACTAGGGCACACAGCTAAAGCTGGAAGTACGAGTTTGATATTTTTTGAAATCGTTTTACTGATGCGGGACCATATGTTTAATTTCAAAACTTGGACTTTGCCCAAAACCTTTGTTGTTTCTCTAATAAAATAAGTGAGAAGCGTGAAAAGTTTGGAGATTTTGAAGTTTTCCCAAAGACAAACTTTCTCTGACCAAAAATTAAGGAGTAACCGCTTGAGCAGGAAAAATTCGCGCAACCACTTTCAATTGAAATTTTCATCTCTGACTTGAAAGGGTAGTTTTTAAGAAAACTCAAAAATTTCAAAAAAAAAAGGTCAAAGTTCCTTGTCTATAAAAATTTTCATACAAATTAAAAAATTTCAGAGCAAAAAACTAGAAAAAAATTTGAAGTTTTTTTCATTTTTTCGGTTTTTTTGTCTAAAGACTGGTAGTATTTTATGCTTATTTCAAAACCTTTCTACGTAATTGCATACTTCTATAATCCTACCAAGCACAAGAAACTACGCTAACTTGAAGATTAAAAACAACTTTTACGCTGGTGTCGGAACATTCTGTGCCACATGCAGAGCAACCGGCTAACCATGATTTGAAATGCATTTTCTGGAATTTCCAAACAATTTGATAAATTCTTAAACTTGCAGCACAAACCTTTGACGCAGAAACAAAACAGAGCTTCGCATCATTTGCGATACAAGACAAGCGCTGCATTGCAAGCTATCAAATAGAAAGAGACATAATCAAAATCGAAAAAAAAAATGTTTTTTTTTTTTGGGAAAAAATTAATAAGTAGTAAATGGGTTGTTAGTATTTTACCGAACGTCCATTAATCTGACCAAAAGTGGATTCAGCCGAGAACAAGAAAAATCGTAAGAAATTGTTCCGAAAAAAATCGAACCATCAAATTTGAAATCATAAAAAGAACCATCAAAAAAGAAATCATTTTTTCAATTTTTGCCTTTGAAGTGATACAAAATAGAGTAATTAAGTCGATAAGACAAGCCGACACCATTTAGGACAAACAAAACTTTCAAGCGGAAAGAAAAAAGAAAAACGAAGGAAAATATACGACGTCAGCGCTATTCATTCACTTCACAATTTCTTGCTCTGTTATCACCGGTCTTACCTGTAAGAAAAGTTAATTACGGGGAAAAAGTTTTGTTCACGATTATAAGACGCTTGCTCTCACAAGTGTAAAGAAAAGATGGATGATTGACTCCATGATTTTTTTCTTTGGACAAAGTGCCATATTTAAATCAGTTGTTTTTGAACGATTGGGGTTTCTACGTCATATGAAAAATTTTGACGGCAATTTGTATAACTGAGGCTTTGTAAATGCCAATTTGGGATTATTATTGCGCGATATATTACAACTCGTAACGTTTCAAAAAGGCAACAAATCGCAGCAAGACAGCAGGCGACAATTAGAAGCGTCAAAAACCTTTGATCAGATCAAACGAACACGAGATACAATATTAAAAAAACCGAATACATGAAACTGAAAATCGAAAAAAAAGACCGTCGAGCCTAAATCCTCGGGGTGCAGCTGCGATATCAAAGTTTAGGACAAACTTAACAGAAATTTTTTTAGCAGAATCAGAGGAAGCGTAATTAATCAAGAAACCTCCTGAAAAACACACACAAGTAAGTATAAAAAGAAGGCGAAACTGAGCTTCCAAAAATGTGTGACACAAATGAGTGACTATGATTACAAGCAAATGAAAAGAAAAACCAAAAATTGAAATAAAATTCTTCAAATAGAAAACGTTTTTTTTTTAATTGAAAAAAGTTCTTAAATTGGCAGAAAGGAACAAAACAATTCTGAAAAGAAAATTCTGCACCATTAGAAACTTTAAAAAGAGATTTTAAAGAGCCAAAAGAAATCGATCATTTCTGCGAGACCTAAGCCGAAAAAAGCTAGCAGACAAGACAGTCTAAAGTCTAAAACATTCGAAAATTTTTAGTTTCCACAAAAAATGGTCCCAACTGCAATCGAATTTCTGGTATTTGTGGTCTCACGCATGGAATGGATGTTACCACTGTGCCAATCGCATAGAATACTTCTAAAATTTATAAAGAAAACAAATTCCAAAAGTTTCTAATAAATATCATGAAAAATTTTAGAAAGAAAAACCGGCAAAATTTCTTCTAACTCAATTACTCGCCACAAACCGAAATACAAAGAAATGATTTTCACTTTAAAAAAAAACGCCTTATTTTTAGACAATTATGTGCTGCGGCAATTAAGCCGACAAAATACAAGCAGACAAACAAAAGTCCGACAAACAAAATTTTGACGCGCGGACATTTTTCCGTTTACAAAAAATAACAGGTCCGGGCCAGACTCAAACCAATAAAAAACTCCTTACTTTTAGGCTGTTATCTGCTGCGGCAACTTAGCCGACAAAAAACAAGCAGACAAACAAAAGTCCGCCAAACAAAAACCTGACCAAAATTTTTTCAAGCAAAAAACGGCGAAACTTCTCTGAACTCAATTACTCGCTAAAAACCGAAACACGACAATATTATTTTCCATTTCAATAAAAAACGCATTAATTGTAGACAATTATCTGCTGCAGCAACTAAGCCGACAAAATACAATAGAAAACAAAAATCCGACAAACAAAATTTCGGCGCGCGGACATTTTTCCGTTAACAAAAAAAAACAGGTCAGGGCCAGATTCAAACCATTGACCTTTGTCTATATAGGCAGGTGTTTAAATTCTTCGCCAATTGCGTGACTTTTAACGTCTGACTTAAGATTCCATATGAACCAAAGGAAAAATTATCCAAGTGATTCTGTTAAACTAGTTGTTAACTCGAAAAAGTCTATACTCCGATTTGATAAAGCTTGCTAATCGCAAGCGTAAACATTTTATTAGTACCGATTATTTTAAAACTGCAGATTTTTCAGAAATCGCACATTCAAAGCCCTACAATTCGAGAAAAAATTGGAAAAAATAAACAAAGCAAATAATTCGACAATTATAGCCCGTTGCTGCGTTTCGCACCACATGCGATACAATAATTATCAAAGAGGACTTCGAACCATATCGGCAAAATCTTGTCAGAAAAAACCACTTGCTGTCCGTTTTGGTGATTGTCCGCAAAGAGATGTTTTGAATCTCTGTTTCTTGAACTAATTTCTTAAAAATCAGCTTTATCAGCATATCGACAGCATATCAGCTTTAAAACAATAGGCTAAAAAAATAAAATATCGAAATTCAAGTGAACAAACAGCTAGATCTATCAAAATGAATGAAGAGTTTCGAAAGACAGACAGTAGAGTGCAAAGTTCGCAACAGAAGAAAACTTACCAAGCTGTAACAAAGCCGAAAACACCTAAAAGAAATCCCGCAAGCTGAAAAACAAATTATTTGAAACTTGAAAAAATTATTAATTCACTCCCTTCATAACGCGCACACATGAAAAATAAAAAATTTTCGCTCAACATACGACTCAAAACAAGGACAAAAATCCGATATAAGTTACAACCTACATAAACAAGCAAAATTTGAATTTAAAATGCAAACATGCTCAAAATATGTCTGTTGCAGTATTTGCAACAGAGATCACCAGGAGACGAAGGACTCCAGGACGTGAGTCCAGTGAACAAAATTATTCTCGACCAAACAGCATAGAACAAAGTTATTGCTGGAAAAAAGACTTGCACTGGATCACACTAACCTTGCTAATCGCAAGAATAACAAAAAATTAAAATAAAAAAAAATTTGAAAAGCTTGATTTTTTTATTCTTTAGCAATGGTTTGTGATTTCTTTTTTAGTTAATGAGAGGAGACAGAATTGGTTCATAGCCCATAAAAACGAGTAAAAAAATAAATTCTTGGATTTTAACGCAATCCGAAAAGAATTAGCTTGGAAAAATAATACGACTAGAGGGCTTCAAACTAATTTCTGAATATGAAATTGCTTCTTTAAATCGTTAACTAAGAAATCCAAGGCAACCGTAAGAAATCGGCTTTGGGTACTCAACGACGTTTCCTTTTTTATAAATTGAAAAAATTTACATAGAGGCGAAGCTAAGCTTCACACCAGTTGCGATACAAAATGAATGACTAGCAAATGGAAAGTCAAATCAAAACATTTAAAACCTTCGAAAATCAATTTTGTCAACATTTTTTAAAATAAAAATTGCAAATTCTAAAAAGTCGTGGAACAAAAATACTAAAGCCATTAAAAATCTTTAAAGGGATATTTCGGAAAGCCAGGAAGAAGCGAATTGATTTGAAAGAAACAAAAAAATACAAACCAAAATTTTAGTCACCAATGTTATCGAACACAAACGTTGAACGCAACTTTGTGCGTGTTAGGTAGAAAAAAGATAAAAGGTTACTGAAAATTTAATTTTTGGTTATATACGGCACTGTACTCCACGAAACATTCCTGCGGGTG